CCCCAAAACCCCAAAACCCCAAAACCCCAACAATTTTTGATGAAATTGAAAAATTTGGGAAAATTAGAATTTTATACATTTTGAGGGATTTTATGCCTTGTGGGATTTTTGGGAATTTGGAAATGGTTGAAAAGGAGCGGGAGGTCTTTATGGTCAGATGGGGCGACATGGGCTTGATCTTTTTGAGTAAGATGGGATCAATATAGTTGCCGAAAAATTTTAGTAACTGGCCAGCATCTGTTGTACTGAGGATCCCCGAGGATTTTTTCTTCTTCGTAGTCAGATTTTTTTAGCATCTCAACTCTGGCGAGGACTTCTATGAAGCCTGCAAAATTAGGAGTTGTTCTTCGTAACTGGGATCTGATAATTTGGTGGAAAGATTCAAGACCGTTGTTAGTGATAGCGAGGTCATTGAAGTTGTGAAGTTTGTGGTAGTAGTTCCAGTCTTGGATTTTATATAGCCCGTCCATCCATGTGTGCTCGAAATAGTCGAGAAATGGCAGAAAAGTGGAGTTTTTGGTTAGGAATTGGTCTTTTAGAGATAGGAATTTGTGGTAGGCTTGGTCAGGAGATCTAAAGGCAAGAGTTTTTAGAGAGAATATTAGTTGCTTAGTTTGCCATAAGAGCTGTTTCCTCTTTAATCCATGTTTACCAGCATTCAACCAAAGAGCTTTGACAAAGTGAAAAAACAAGGTACTAAGCTTGCTGAAGGGAAAATCTCCTTTGATGATTTTATCAAACCTATTTCAAAATCGGTTGTGATAAACTTTGGGGATAGATCAAATTCAGATTTTATCCAGTTGAAAACGCTTAAGTATCCTTGGTACTTCTCAGTTTGCATTAAAACATGACCTATTGGAATGTATAAGCCCTTTGCTCTATGAAATATTCAGATATTCAGCAGCTGAGTCCACGTCTTTGGGCATCATTTGAAGGTCCCATCAACAAAAAGATGTAAGTTTGGATCATTATTTCACTTCCTTGACTACTTGCATTTGGAAATCTGAGTAAAGGTAAAAGAAATGTTTTGGCTTTCCATCAACCAATACAAAGCTAAATCCTCTCCCGAATTGATCATTGCGAAGTGTTTTTATATTCTTGACATCTATCATGCCTGGCCCATCAAGATTTGGAGCTCGCTTAGCCCTCTCTTTTACTATGATCTGATGCATATATTTCCTCTCAAGAGGTTCAGCATTAGGGAAAAGTTGCCTTGATATTAGCAATTGCTTGTGAAGTTGTCAAATTAGGATCTTTTCTGGACAAAACTTCAACCATTTTGGTAACTTCTTTCTTAGTGAGAATCTCATTCTTGCTTCCACTAGTTGAAGCCATTGCTTTGGAATACTTTTTTCAGACAGATTCTTCACAATTATGAGAATGATTATCTTTCGAGATGGAATGCGAAACAACAAGTTTTCCATATTCTCCATTAAACATCAATGGTTTAATCTCCCATTTCCCAGAGCACCCTAGAGTTTTCTTATCTTGTCAATAATATGTGGCTCTCATGACTTTTCTAATTGCTCTTTTATATGGCAGAGACCTTGTGTAAACATACCCTTCTCTTAACAAAGTAGATCTGTCTTTGTCGTAGTCAACTATCTGAAATCTCTCATGTTCTCCAAGACCAGGTTCGCTGTCCTCTGAGTCACTATCATGCTGTAAGTGGCTGATGATGTCATTCTTCTCAGTACGCTCCTCAAGGTCATCTTCATGCTCACTGCTACAGATGCCTCTCTCTAGGTATAATCATAATTTAAGAATAGAAGGCTCAGCTAGAGATGCAAGATTATAAGCAGACTGTAGATCATCATTACAAGATATCAAGCATTTCTCTGCATTATAATCAAAGTAATACATTATGAAATCTTCATTAGTGATTGGAGCACCAGTGGATCCTTTGGCGTTCTCCCTGATCGTGAACTTCAACTCCTTGAAAGACATTGGTAGTTTATCTAAGAACTTTCTCTGAGTTTTGTAGCATAACTTGATTTGCAACAATTTCTTCTCTTGTGAAATATTTTGATCTTTTTCAGTCAAAAATGTCATTTTCTTCGTAGAGGGATTCGCATGAAAAGATGCATGACCTTTGTCTTCCAGAGATTGAAAGACTTTATCGAAACTGGAAACTTTGTCAAAAGCATCAAAGTTCTTTCTGAGTTGAATAAACTCCTTTTTATTTTGTTCCTTTAAAACTCTCTTTTTGCAAATAGGTTGGTCTACTGACTTATTTCAATATTTCAATTCTTTTAGTGGTACAGGGGTTTTGGGGTTTTGGGGTTTTGGGG